TTCTCCTTTTCTTTCTCTCTCTTCACTGGTTTGATTCCAGAGCCTTTGCAATGAGCAATGTCGCAGGCTGGATTCAAACTTTCAATCCTCCTGCCTCAGTCTCCTAGAGTGATGGGATTATGGGCATGCACCACTATGCCCCAACTGTTATTTGACATTTAGTATGACTTTTCCCCTCTGTAGAAATGTTCTGGGATTCTTTATGAGCTTATCTATTTCTTGGTAATGTTTCCCTTTCTCAATAAATACAGTTTTAAATCAACACTTCATGCTTCTTCCAGCACATTTATGGTGGCAAAAATAAATGTTGTTGGATTGTACCTTGCACTCTCATCATTTTTGATGCATGAGACAGGTGTGACAACCATTTTAGTTTGTCCTTTTTAACAATTCCTGGGTCATTTCTGTAACACCGTCCTCTTTTCATTGTACTTGGGTGTATGTAGATGATTTCTCACATTTTCGGAGGTGACATTCTGGACTTTCTCTTCGTGCTCCTGTTGCTCAGTAATTTTCATGGCTAAGTCATCTGAGATAGTCTATGCCCCTGAGAAGTGTGAGGAGAACTATTGAGAGGGAGTGACTAAGATTTAGTTGTGGGTGTAGGAGAACCTGAAAGATAACAAATTTCAGGGTCCTATATTATTTTCTGACCATAGATCTATGTGTGTATATTGTGTGTATGTTTCAAAAATAAGGCAAGTAATTCTATCATGTGTTAAAATATCTTTTTATCTCTCTGTATAGCAAATGGAAAATGGAATGATTATAGTCGTCTATGGAAAGAGAAACTGTATCAGACCCAATCGATATATATGTGGGAAAAAGAAAGAAATATGTGATTCACAAGGCTAAAATGTGGGAGAAGTGAAACTAGGGTCAAGAAATGGACCTCAAAGGGGAGAAATGAGCATATAAGGAAATACTAGCCCATTGAGAACTGAGAATGGTTTATTCCTTGCACAAAGTCGGAGTCCATAAGAATGAGTTGCTGCTGAGGAAGACTTTTATCCTTGTCCAGGCTTTGCCATGGACATATGTCACAACCACTGATAGCTTGCTTGACTTCTCTGAGCCTAAACTTTCATTCTTATATCATGGGAGTAATCATATAAGGACCAGTGTTAAAAACCAATTCTATCTAGTATTTTGTCTGTTAATTGATACGTTTTAGTTAGCTCTATCCATTTTTTCTTCAGTGTATATTATTTAGCAAAACAGGGACAGAAGATTAACTGTGAAGATTGTTTCTGTGTTCTGTTAGAAAGATAGTAACATAGGTTTGGAGAATTATAGAAAATGGGGTCAACACATTAAAAAACACAATAATAGGAGATGGAAATTCACAAGAAAAGATATTAAGAATTAACACTGCCCATGGTGGCTCTTGCTTGTAAGTTCAGCCCCAGAGGAGGTTGTGGCAGGAGGATCACAAGTTCCTCCCCAGCCTGGGCAGTTCAGTGATTTATTGTGACCCTGTCTCACAATTTAAAAAGGTAAAAAAGGTTGGGTAAGTAGCTTAGCATGATGTCCCTGGGATCATTCCCGAGAATTAAAAAAATAACATATGATGTTCACCAATGCTCGCAACTCAGTTTATAATTTCTTCTGTAATATAAATTGAAGAAGAGATATTTTTATTCATATTTTACAAATTGAGATATTAAAACTCAATGCTACTCAAGGACTTGTCATATCAGAATCCAGGCCAGGAATTCCCAGCCCAAGTCCGGGGCTCATTTGTTTTTTTTGTTTTGTTAATTTGTTTTTCTCATTGAGTTTATTGGTACATTTTAGGTATACAGTACAGTTATATTCATCATTGGGATCTTGTACTTTTACATGACAGGTCTTGGTTCTACTTTTTTTTTTCCCCTTACCCCTGCCCTCCCTTTGCCTAATTCAACTTACTTATTTTCTCTGAAACTTCATTTTCTCATGTGTGATCAGAAGCCTCTTCATGACCAGATTGCTCACTATGGTTTAGTTTTAAAATTTTCACCCACAGTCTTATGCATGGTGGGGCTTTTAGAAAGTGACTGCTGCATAGGATCACTATACCTATCAGTGGATTGATCAATCCATTGATGAGTTCACTGCTAAATGTGCTGTTAGGTGGTGGGAGCTGATTGGAAGTGTGTTACTTGGTGGGTGACCCGGAAGAGTGTATTCTTGTCCCTGACTCCTCTTATTTCTTTCTGCTTCCTTGTTACAATGAAGTGAGCTACTTTCTATTGCCATGCTCTTTGGCTATGACATTTTTCAATTGGAGTGAACGAACCATGGACTAATCTCTCAGAAAACCGTGAGTCATATAAACCTTCCCTCCTTTCACTTGTGGGTATTGGTATACCACATTTTCTTCATCCATTCATCTTTTGATGAGCATAAACATAGTAGAGGGTTACTCAGCCATAACGAAGGATACATTTGATGTATTTATAGGAAAATGGATGGATCTTGAAAGCACAACACTAAGTGAAATAAATTAGTCACAGAAGGTTAAATATCACATGGTTTCTCATGTGAGAAACTCCAAAAAGAAATAAATTAAAGCATAAAGTTAAAAAAGAAGACATGATAGAAAAGAGGAAGGTATACTCTGTGGATATAGGAAAGGAATCTGGAAGGAGGGAAAGAAGGTGAGGTGAAAGGGGGAATAAAGTGATAAATATGAGATATATATCTATATATATAGATACGTATTGAAGATGAATGTAATTAGCATGTATTTCAAACACATATTA